AGAGCCTAATCCTTCCTTTGGTTGGATTCTGTGCATTCCTCAAGAAGTTGAGCCTTGGATTGACATTAATTGGCATAGTATATTCCTTTGGTTTATACTATCTTCTTTCTTTGTCCTATTGACATAGGATCCCTCTTGGGAGAGCCTAATCATTTCTTTGGTTGGATTCTGTGCATTCCTCAACAAGTTGAGCCTTTGATGGGCATTCTGTGTTGATACACATTAACCATATACATTAGAATGACATCTAGGTTCCACCATTCTCATCTATCCTACATTCTTAGGATCCCTCTTAGGAGAGCCTAATCCTTCCTTTGGTTGGATTCTGTGCATTCCTGAAGAGGTTGAACCTGAGAGGGACTCTTGTGTTAACACACCTCTAAACATGACGTAGCCTGGGATGTTTTCCTTATTGCTCATCTTGTTTACCCTTCTCCTCCCTGTTTGATTTATTTGCTTACTGCATTAGGATAGAACTGCATGAGTAGCTTCCCTTGTTTAGGTGCATGACTGCATTGAAAGGTTGAGCTTGTCTCCCTTTGCTTGATTGTTTCCCTGCTTTCTTACCTGTCATGTTTGCACTAAAGGTTGAGTTTATCTCCCTTTACTTGTGTGCTTTCTATGTGCATATCTGTTTGCATCCCATGTTTGGATTAGAAGTTGAGGCCTCCTCCTTCTGCTTGTACTGTTGCATTGCATATGCATCTGTTTATATTCTTATCTCATCTGCTTAATGATTTTAGTTGTGTTTTTTTCCCTTTAACATATTCCCTTAGGATTCTCACCTCCTTGTTCAAGGATGGTGATGATAGACATTAGGTTTAATCCATGCATGACAACATCTAGGGTAGATTCCCCTTCAAACTCAACCATAGGATGAATCCATTGTATGACAACATTAGGGCTGGATAATTTCCCCATATAGTCCTTTCTCTTCTCTCCTCAAAACAATAACAAAACATCTAATAAAGGCTAATGAGTACCGTAAATTACGAGCCTTAAGCCACTTGGGAAATGATAATTGAGTGGTCTCCCCTCAATCGTCTAGAGTGTTTAGCCCACGTCCTTAGGACAATGTGCGACGCATTCGTTCCAAAGTCATAGTCCCTTTACGACTTTCCCGATCAGCGCCTCGGGTCGGTAGCCGGGCTCCGGGACATTACTACCACGGCTACTATCGACCCGATCCCAAAGAAGGAAAAGAACGGACTAAAGCGAGGAGTTCATTGGCCATACATAGTGAAGGGGGATGAGGGTCAACCTCTTTCATGACCCATGGCCCTAGTGTGTAACTTGGTTAGCATTTCTAGAACAAATTTAGTAGGGTTGGTTTTTCGATAGGGAAACAGGGGAGTTAGTTGGTTGTAGTTGAGACATGTTTTTCAAGTGGACGATATGGATTTATTCGAGATGGTTAACCACTTTTTTCACCGTGAGAGGGGAGTCAGGGATCGATCAGTTCAACTAAGGGCTGACCTCCATCCACGTATGTGGCAAAATACGGGGATGACTTGTGGCTAGGGGTTAAAGGCCAACCAAGATCGGATATAGCTGGTTTTCCGCGAAATCTATTTCAGTAGAGCGTATGATGTCGATGGCCCAAGGTAGAGCACTCAATGGGCTAGGGTGGCCCCATTTCGCCTTACCAACCCCAGGGAAACTCCGAATACAGGCCTAGATGGTTTGTACAGACAAACTTTTAGGGTGCTAAGATCCAAAGTCGAGAGGGAAACAACCCAGATCGTACGCTAAGGTCCCTAAGCAATCACTTAGTGGAAAAGGAAGTGATCGAGCAATGACAACCAGGAGGTGGGCTTGGAAGCAGCCATCCTTTGAAGAAAGTGTAATAGCTCACTGGTCTAGCTCCATGGCACCGAAAATGTATCAGGGCTCAAGTGATTCACCGAAGCGTCAAGACCTTGAAAGTTGTTCAAGTGTCAGTAGCGGGACGTTCTGTCAATCGGGGAAGGTTTTTGGTGACAACACCTGGAGATATCAGAAGTGAGAATGCTGGCATGAGTAACGAGAAATCCTGTGAAAAACACGATCGCCTGCCAGTGGAAGGCTTTATGCGTTCAGTCAATCTACGCAGAGTTAATCGGTCCCTAAGGAAGCCCCGAAAGGGCTGTCGTCCGATAGGTACACGAAAGTGACGAAGTTGCTTTGACTACAGAACCATGCCTGTCTGTTGGACTGAATTGGATGATTGGGTCGAGGGTTGCCCCCTCTTCCCCTTACTCTCCTTTCCCTAAGATGAACCTTGAGTCATCAAAGCCTTTCTGACTCGGCCTGGTCCGGTCGCCTTACGCGACTGGCGCTTCAAAAGGTAGTTTACTTGCTTACTCGTTAGAGTAGGGGTCGCAAGAGAGCAGAGCGTACCGCCCTGCCATAGTTGCGAGTCTGTTTATAGTCGCGACTGTTGTCATAGTCAACAAGGTTGAAACTTCCAGGAAAAAACTTCGAATTGGGAGGGTGATCCTCCCGGTGAACTGACCGTACCCCAAACCGACACAGGTGAATCCCTGGGTGAGGCCAATGCTTTGCCACCCAATCGGCCGAAGCATTGGCTAATCTGTTCACCCTTTATATCGACTAGTTGTGGTGGGACATCAGGAGTTGCTGCACATCACTAACAATAGGCCTCAGACTGCAATCTGTAGACGACTTTTGACTATGAAAAGCTTTCAAGACCTGAGATGAATCTGTTTTCATACATACAAACAGAAGATAGCTGTAGATAACATTCCCTACTTGTCCAACTGTTGCTGAGCAGTTTTTGGATATCAAACGGACCTCGCCGGAAGGTAATTTTAATGTTGCTGATTTACCTTCTTTTGCAATCAGTTTCGCTACAACACCCGCTGCTCTAGGACCAGTAACCCCATTCTCTTCCTGGGAAGCGACTAGTTAGTTGAGAACCCTCTGCTTCTGACCCACATAAGTTGCATGGTCACCTTCCTCATCCCCTGAATGAACTCCTGCAACTGATCTCCCACTCGGGAAGTTCAACTAAAGGCAAGGCAAACTAAATTGTCCAAGAAGATCTTATTCTTAGGACTTAAAATCATTCCCCTGCTGTATCCCTTTCAAACTAACCATATCCCGTCGCTTTCTCATATGAGATAAAAGCACTCTCTCATTATTGCTAATTAAGTGGCTCTCTCACTTGACAAAGCGAGCAAGCAATTTATCTTCTCTTTCTAGTAGGGCTAGGAGTTACTGAACAGCCACCCTAACATGGTCGGTGTGTGGGAATGACTTAAGGCTAAAGAAAATTTTATTTATCTCTACGGATGACTAACAAGGTAGGATCCAAGCGGGTGACTTCCGAGCAGCAGCACTGCTCGCCCTGGCATAGCCGTATGATTTCGTCACACACAGATTATATTGTCTGTCTAGACTGTCTAATCCCGGCTTGTAATGGCATCAGGGCTAAAGCACATACATATGGAGAGGTGCAAGGATGTGCACTAGATTCTGATTTACTTACCAAAATCTACCAGCGGTCTTTTCGGTATGGTACGAATGAATATTTTTCAACCCGTATGGCCGAGCTTCCTAGAATACCATAAAATTTGGGGGTCTCACTCCTATAAACATATGCATATGGATCAGTCTCTACGACCTTAGCCTTCAAATCTTTCCGGTTCTATTCCTTTTTTGAATAAAGGCTTGTTATCGACGAATAAGCTCTTTAGACTTTGCCCTAAAAGCTCATCCTAAGGAAAGTCGTTTTCACTCGGGACTTCTTTCTATGCTAGCATGCTTCTACTTCTATTCTTGATCTAGATTCTTAAACCTTTATTCTAAGATAAGATGCCTGTCTATAAATCTGTACTTGTTGACTAAAAGACTTTCGGCCGGCGGATTTAGAATCAATCAATCCCATCTGTCTATTAGTTCAAGCGTATTATCTAACAGCGGATTCTTGCTAACAGAAAGATAACCACCTATTCTATCAAGCAGTCAATTCAATAACAGATGATTTGCTGTAAAGAGACGATTCGGTGCGCATTTCATGCTACTTCACAGTGGCTAGCTTTCCTGCTTCTGTGCTTGCTATTAGTTCCTAGATGTGCGTAATCGTCTTCTGAGGAGATATCTTTTCTTTATGTGTTATAATATGAAAAAAGGTGAATTCTACTTAAGAAGAAGTCTTATTTTTAAAAATACACAAACCCTTATTTGTTAAATGAATGAATTATCAAACACTTAATTGAATAAGTTCAGGGCTAACAGTCTTAATAAAGCCAATAGTCACCCCTGATTCGGATGTTACGATAAATCTGTCCTCTGATTCTGATGCTGCAGAAGAGAAGGGAAACCCTGACCGAAGGTAGCACATAAGACGATGTGTAAAGCGTATAGCCAGCCGATGTAATCAAATCCTTCTGTTCCTAAGGGAAGGGGCTTACTCATATATATATATATATAATATAAAAAAGAAAGTTTGCACTTAATCTATTAAGGCCAATCTTCTGATCTTCAACTATTCTCACCCCTCGGAGTCTAAAAAAAAAATGTGTATCTTGCTATTGGTATCAATCGGTCCTCTCTTTCCTTTTGGTGGCGCATGCTTAGATTACCCTTATTCTTCATCTTCTCTACCCTTTGGTTGCTTAGGGCGCCCAGAGGGATTCGCCTCTAGGAGAATAGTTATTGATCACATAGCTTGGGTACTAGAAGTTGCTGATCGTATCATTCGGGCAGAGCCTGGGTCCCTTAGTATTATGTATAGCGCAACTCCCTCTTTCTTTTGCTAGTTTTGTTCCGATGGATGAAGGAAACCCTTCTCTTACTGCCCCACTGACCCGAAGTGATTTAGAAAGATTATTCTTTATCGATGGTGATCGGTAATGGTATCCATAGCGTTGCTTCTTTTTCGGCCAAATACTAATTTCGTTTTGCTTCTCCCGGTCGTCGAGCCTGATCGACTCGACTCTTTTCCCTGCCCTCCGGCCTCTCACTTCGTTTCGTTCTTCTTCTTTCTTGTTGCTGGAATGAAGAAAGAAGTCAAGCTGCACGCAATCCACAACCAAAAGAGAAAAGCCACTCAAGGGCAGAGGGATATTGCTCATCAATGTCCGTTGTCGATCCGGTCATCAACATCTGCTTTTCTTCGCGACAAGAATGGTTATATCCTGGCAGTCGAAGGAACTCGGCAAAATGACCCCGTAACTTCGGGAGAAGGGGTGTTCTCCAATCTTTTGATTAGGGAAGCGGCACATACTAGGGGGTAGCGACTGTTTATTAAAAACACAAGACTCTGCTAAGTGGTAACACGATGTATAGAGTCTGACACCTGCCCGGTGTTGGAAGGTCGGAAGGAGAAATGTTATAAGCTTTGAATGGAAGCCCCGGTAAACGGCGGCAGTAACTCTAACTGTCCTAAGGTAGCGAAATTCCTTGTCGCATAAGTAGCGACCTGCACGAATGGTGTAATGACTGCCCCGCTGTCTCCGACATGGACCCGGTGAAATTGAATTCTCCATGAAGATGCGGAGTACCAACGGCTAGACGGTAAGACCCCGTGCACCTTGACTATAGCTTCGCAGTGACAACCTTGATCGAATGTGTAGGATAGGTGGGAGGTGATGACACAGAATGACCAATCCTGAAAGACCACTCTTTCGTCTAAGGATGCCTAACCGCCGCACCAAAAATTCGGGGGGGGGGGGGGGGGGGGGGGCGGGACACTGCAAGGTGGGTAGTTTATCCCGGGAAGAGAAAGGGCTGGCCTCATCATATTCTGAATCAGCAAAGAGAAGTCTTGTATTGATCTTCTCAAAGACTTTCCCCAGTGGCCCTTCTGGAACTTGCCCAGGCTACGCAGCCTCTGGTTGAGGTGCGGGCTCTCCTCCGGGTTGTTCCAAGTCCCTAAAGATAGACTCCCTGCTTATGCCCGGGGAATTTATTTCGAGCGCACCAGGAAGCCGCTGCCCGACTCCCTGAGAAGGCTGCGAGTTTATTTCTTCCCCAGGTTTGGCAGTATTTTGAAACCAGCTAGAGAGACCCTCAAAAAAAGAATCAGAAGGATTGTCACCCCCCCCCCCCCCGGCCCCACTAGCATCCATCATCATCGATGTAGAGGGGAGGTCTGTAGGCCTGACGCCTATAGAAATAGACAACCACTCCAACAAAAGATTGAAGGTCGTAACTTCCAACACACAAAATAGGAACCCCAGAGAGAGGAACACCGAAGCCAAGGCCAGCCAAAGCCCAAAGGAAGACCCACTTGAGTATAGTGTTAATGAAAAAAGTGATAAAGCGGGTTTCATCTCATTTTCCGGAAAGCTAGTCATACTATTCCACTTTAGCTAAGCTAATGATGAAACGAGATCTGGATTTGTATGCAGATGATGATGTCCACTCCTGGCTCGATGCGCTTAACGAAAGGGAACGAAGTCTCTAGATTAATTAATAAAGAATTTCCTTCGTCATTAAGCAGCATCCCTTAAGTGAGTAGGGGTGCGCTAGACCGCCGACGAATAATAGGTACCCCCACACCCCAGGTAGAGTTAGTGAGCCGTGTAATAGGCGACCATTTCGCGCGGTTCGGGGGGCACTTGAGTCAGCCGCCGGCGCCCGACTGCGTCTTGACCCCTTTCCAATTTTTGGGCCAATTCCCCCTTCGTACTACGAAAAAATGAGATTCTTGCCGAATCTGAGTTTGCTGCTCCAACCATTACCAAACTTATACCTATTATGTTTAGTACTTCAGGTGCTTCTGTTGCATATAATGTAAATCCCGTAGCGGATCAATTCCAACGAGCCTTTCAAACAAGTACTTTTTGTAATCGACTCTATAGCTTCTTCAATAAACGTTGGTTCTTCAATCAAGTTTTGAATGACTTTCTTGTCAGATCGTTCCTGCGTTTCGGATATAAAGTCTCATTCGAAGCTTTAGACAAAGGTGCTATTGAGATATTGGGCCCTTATGGTATATCGTACACATTCCAACGATTGGCCGAGCGGATAAGTCAACTTCAAAGTGGATTTTTTGTGCGAAGAGTGCGTTATGACCCATGGCCGCCTGCCTGGTCTGGTGGGGTCCTCCGTTGTGGGTAAACGGGAAACCCGACTCTACGAACCCGAGGAAAGGCTGCACAACAATAGTAGGGGCGTGAAGACCGGAGCTTTTTGTAGTGCTAGCAGGAATGCAAGTGAATGAGTCCCATCCCCTAGCGAGTGAAGTGCTTACGCCCCTTTAGATTAGAGATAGGGGCGCGCTAGCGTTATAATAATAATAGAAAGGTTAAGGGGCTGAGAAAAGCTTGTTGTCTACTTCTCTTCACTGCCCTGTTCTGTAACTTCCCTTATTTAGTCTGTCCACGAGGCTATAAAAAGAGAGAGGGGCGGCTATATAGCGGGAGTCGTTTCGGTTGTATGCCACGAGGTCCCTATGGACAAGGGGACAAGTGAATCATCGCTTTTGGGCGCAGGCAGCCCTCTACCATCCATCCCATTGAATTCCATCATCTCGTATTGTACTGTACCGTACCAGATACATCTATTGAGTGAGAGAAAGGCAGAAACTCGCCCCACGTACGGTTCGGAGGCCGAGCCCCACCCCAACAGTAATGGTGCGGCTTAGGTCAACTAACACAAAGAAGATACAGTTTACTCAACGATTGCCTTTGGGTTCCGAACTCCATATGGGGAAGGAGCGTTGTTGTTTCCGAGGTCTCGATCATTTACATAGACCCACTTCTCATTCCATTTGTGGGAATTTTATGATCTATAAACCGTCCCTAACGAACGATCGCCTCATGTTTGAGCATGATGAATCACTTCGTGCCGACCTGTTGCCAATAAACTTTCCGGCCTCATATGAGAATGAAAAACTGGATAATTTTCTGCATCTGTGGATGAAGAATAGCGAAAATAATAATTTATGGTTGACCATGTTCCCAGAAAAAATATACTTTAGAGAAACAACGAGCACGACTGAAGTGGCTATACATACAAATCCATTTACAGATAGATATGCTTCGATTGGAGCTAATGAACCTTTGCCTTTCTTTCTTATCTTTCTATCCCTGCCTGTATCCTATCCTTAGAGCTCCCCTTTGCGTTGATTATAGGCATTTTCTTTGCCCTTTGGGAGAGGTAAGGTATAGAGCTTGAATCCCCCAGCTGACATCTTATTCTCCATTGGGCATCCTCATGGCATCTACTTCTTTAAATAAAAGAGAAAAAGCTTTTGCCGCTCTTTCCTTGGCTTTCTTTCACGTACGTGTGCTCGTCTATCCTTTAATAGAAAGAAGCAATTTCTCTGTTCGAAATCAAGCTACATTTCTACCCCAGGAATTCGGCCCTCTTTTCCTTGCTTGCATGCCTTGGGTCTCGAGATGATATTCAGGAGACAAAAGAGCAGAGCTGATAGAAATGCTTATTATAATGGAGATACTAATTCTTTAATAAAGACTTGTGCCCATTTTCCAAGATTCCTTTGTGGGAATGTCTTTTTCTTCTTCTTGACTTGACTCAAAAACCCTCCCGTTCAGGACAGAGCTCTAAGGGTATCTTTCATTGCCTTGGCAAGCTATTACCTCACCAACTAGCTAATCAGACGCAAGCCCCTGCTTGGGCAGATTGCTCCTTTCGCTCCTCAGCCTTATTTATATGGGGTATTGGCAGCCGTTTCCAGCTATTGTCCCCCTCCCAAGGGAAGTGACGGATCATATAGTCTAATTCCTTTCCAGTGCCAGCATTCCAGTGTACGCATATCTAGGCGCAGTTCCAGTAGATGACCTTGTTGATCCGGGACCAGAGCCTGTTGACTAAGTAGCAGATAGACCCTCAGAGGGGACGCCCGCAGCAGAGTCAGCAGAGAGAGCAGGGGCAGGAACATAACAAGCTCCATAGTCGGTTGTTAACCTAATAGCATGATGGGCATAGACAGTACCATAGGTTGGTTCCAGATCGAGCTATTAAAGCACCTGACGGAACGGAACCGAAAATCTGGTAGAGGAAAAGGCAGGAGTCTATTTAGTAGACTTAGTTGCGTATGTTGAGTAAAGAACAACCCCGTGAAGCTACGGGCTTTCCCTCTATCTGGCGTGCATCCTTCCCCCCTCCCCCTCCTTTCTATCATTAGGAGCAAAGAAAGGCAGGAGCTGGTTTTTAGTCCCAAGTAACAGATTGAGTAGCTTTTATAACCAGCATCTAAGTAACTTCCAGATCATAACGATTCACTAATGGAAGTCTTTCGATGATCCAGCTACTCAGACTGGACTGCTTTACTTAGTGGGTAGGAATGAAATATAGAGTTTGTTATTCACGGAGCTACCACTACTTGAGCGTACACCCGGACTCTTACTGTAGTCTCATTTCTAGTATCCTATAAAAGAAAAATACAAGTCCGTTTTTATATTCCTTATAGCACGGGTATAGGTTACCTCACGGGATTAACTTATTAAGTTATATTAATACCAGAATCGGGTGTTAAAGTCATTACCATTCAAGTCCCAAGCTTCCGGCAACCAATTATCCCAAGGTAGGTGGGAAATTAATTCCGGATGGAGCAATAATATTTAATTTAAATTTTTTATTTATAGGCTTCGGCGTATGTAGATTCGACAAATGTTTCCACCTCTCGGATCCTGGTTTCAAACTGGCCTAACATATGACTCTATAATCAGCTAGTCGGAATCGGAATATGCTTTTACCCTTGCTTGAACTGGTTTACTCACAGGCACTGAAACTAGATAGCAACTGTAATTGTAATTGGATGGCAAGGAAATCACAAGATTGCTCACTTAAAACCTAGCTTGCTGGCGCCTGCTGGCTCTACTAAGTCTCTTTCCCTTTCCTGCAACTGGAACTCTAAATGTAGCACTGGATGTAAACTCTCACTTGAAGAATTGCTAGCTTGCCTATATTCCTACTTGAATAAAAGAAAGGTTTGCTTTCAATTTAAAGGCTTCCTCACTCACTGTAACAGACTCAGGCGCTAGAGAACTCGAATAATGTCAAAAGAGGGCATTGGGATTTTAATAACCCGGCTTTCAAACTAACTTAGATATGCCATTTTATACGCTCACTTACAAGAGGCAAGTTTTAGAAATAGAAATCAACTTTCTTACACTAGGGGAGATTCAGTATATGCTCACTTCGGAAAAGATGAGTAAACAGTCACTTCTAAAAAGGAGAAGGAAGTAGATTAGGGCAGGCAAACAGCGCCAGGAAATGTATGAGAACTCGCATGTCCTGCCTATGTAACCTATTCGATTCACTC